CCATTTGTTTTCCTGACCTGAAGCCTATAAACCCTATCCCACCTCTTATACCATCAGATTCTATAGAAGTTGCTGGAAAGACCGTGAAAGAGAAAAACTCCCTGAAACGAAACGGGGCAAATCAATCCAAACGCACGGTTGGCAACGCAAATCATAGCTTCAACAGCAATGGCAATCATCTCACCCACCAACTACCATCGCAAACAAAAATAGATGTTGGTGCCTCTCAGCGCTTTGCGAACACACAGAGGTCAAAACAAGGAAGTATTCAACCTTTCTCACAAAATATTCCCAGTGATTGTTCCTCTATTTGGTTAGTGAAGTCCAACACCAATTTAATAAATGGAGGTTCGGACACGGATACTACACAGTCCTTAAATGGAAATAGACAGAACACCTACGATGCCGGATCATTAACTCAGACATTTCCGCAATGCAATGGTATTTCGGAAAACCAAACAAGCGCTTCATTGTCGCTCAAAAGAGTCCAGCTTAAGATGCAGCTTGATCTCACTTCTCAGTCTCCAGAATCAGCACATAATCACATTCCTCAAGTGTCACTTTCTTCTGCCCCCATTAAATCTCCATCTATAGAGTGCCAACGATCCCAAAATCACTTAGGGAGTCAGCATCATTCCCGAGATGCCAATAGTTTTTCTTCCCAGACACAGCTTGTGCAATCTGATCCATCTACATCCATTTCTGGTCCTATTCATGATATCGACCTGGGATTCGATCCTTTTCAGGAGTCACAACAGGGCTTGGCTGAGCTGGTTGCTGCGGAGAATAATTGTGAGGCATCATGTGATCATATTTCTCTGGGATATCCCACCTTTGGTAATGTGCAGCGCCACACTTCCCAATCTCCCTCCTTCCAGCCAACTTGTTCTGCTACAGACTCCGAAAGCCAATTCGTCCAGTGGCTGTCTCGCTCAGCTATTAGTGACGAATCCGGTTTCCATTCAATGAATAATGGCAGTAATTTAACTATATCAAATGGCATACAGCCTCCGCCAGGATTTGAATCCCGTTTAATTCCTTCAGCTTCAGATTTGGCAACCAGTGAACTAGATTGTACATCTTCACATATCTTATCAACTGGTAGGCTTCAGGCTCCTTATGCGGATGCAAGAGCATATAGTAGATTCTCCACTCACCATCAGTCCTCTTTGGATGAATGTATAAAATCCACTCCTGACTATCCCCATTATCCCCCAGGGCTTGTTGACTCTCTGGCCTCTAGCTCTAGTTCACGGGGCTTACCAGCATTTGAGTTGGAGCCTTCTTTTTCTCCCTCATCTCGAGTTGACTCTACCCAGAATAATTTAGCTTCTTGTCTTGCAGCACTACACCTTCAGACTAACCAGTCGTCTCCATCGACTAGCAACCCCCCAACTGAACCTGCGCCCCCTCCACGACCAGACTTCTCAATCTTCAGCTCCGGTCGTAATTGTCTCTCTGCTGGCCTTAAGTGTTCTATTGACGAACCAGGTATTGGCAACAGAAGTACCAACACGGAACTTTCAGATCCACATCCCTCAAGAGAGGCAAGCCAAATGGCTGGCTCAAATCCGCTCGCTCAGGTAGATTGGAATGCCCTCGCCCATCAACTCTATCAATTACAGCAGCAAAAGCTACTCCAATGCCAAAACACATCTGGCTCCAGTGTTAATTCTACTGCTGCCGCAACTACACAATCATTAATGATGGCTGCCCTCCTTATGGCCCTTGGATCAAGTAATGGAGGCAATGGCGGAGGGCTAAATGGATTGAATTCATCTACTCTTGATCCTCTCACAGCACTTACCACTGCCACTCTTATTGCACAATCAAGCAATTTTGCTGGAGGCAGTA